TCTTTCTTGATTTAGGAGCCCGTCTCAGTCTTGAAGTCTGACTGGGTAACTCGGGGAACACCTCTAAGTTTTAAGCCAGCCTTGCTCAAATTTAGGTCCAAATGTATTACAACATTACATTTTCAACCACAAATGTACAATAAAGAGATTACCTCCAAGGTATCTTTCCCTAAACACAGATGAGATGCTGCTGCTGCTATTTTATGATTGAAAGAACTGATTACTTTTGGCATTCATTTCAATAATGTGCTATGAAGGAGCCTATTGTGGTCACATATTAGGGCTGTAACATCATAAATGAATAAAACATCTTGGCCTTATTGCTAACACCAGCAACAGCTGCTCTCTGTAAAAAGACAGAGCATGCATTGAAAGGAAGAAGTAAATGTGACAGGCTAAGCCAAGGTCAGTTCTAAGCCTGCAATACCAGTGTGGGGGAAAAAGAGAAGGGTCACGTGCAGATATCACAGTAAAAGCACTTAAGGTGATCACAGCTCCCCAAAACACACCTGGTACCTAACCAGAAACAAAGACTTCATTCAAATGCTTCATTCATGAAGCATTTGCTTCACAAAAGATTCCGCTTAGTAGAAGCCCATTTATAGCAAAAAATCAAGCATGTCAAGAGAAAGCTTTTAATTTTGAAAGTTTCTAGCACTGAAGTACATCAAGTTATTGTGTTCTTCACAACTGAAAGACATCAGCGTCTCTTTTTACACCCCTTTTCTCTATTTGGCATTAAGTCAAAGCAAAGGCAGGCACAGGATATGACATCCTGGAAGAACCCAAGCTTCCAGATGTTCCAAAAAAGATGTAGCAGAGGTGTGGAACTCCTGAGTTTCCAAAAGTTGGTTAGAAAGTTGAGGGATTCAGGAGAGAAAGAGGGAATGTACACTCAAGAGAGAGGCACCACAGGCTCCATCTAGGAGAGGAAATGATAAAGAATTGTAGATAAAGAATTGTTGGAAGATAAAGAATTGTTGGAAGCTCCGCAAGAGAAGCACTCCTGAGCAGTGCACAGGCTTGTCCTTCTCCTACCTCTTTGCTCCTCAGGTGTCTCTTTTTGGGAACATCATAAATGGTCCCTTGTCTGATGCTGTGCAGTTGCTGTCACATGGGTTTTTGCAGCTCCTCTGGCTTTCCCACATCTCATTTTCCCAATTCTGTTCCAATTCTTATTCATTTTATTCAGGGGATTATTTCTCCTGAGACACTTCAGGTGAATATGTATGTGATTTTTGCATATCAGAACAACCCCTTCCTCTCAGCTCAGGGCTGTAATAATTTCACTGTGAGGAATACAAAGACCCAACCTTGTAAGAATTTTAGTGTAGTTGCTTGAGCATTCTGCAGCTTCAGTAAGTTATTACAAAGCAGCATATGGGAGAGGAATAACAAATGATGTTTATGAAACCTCCAAGTATGTTATTTGCAAGATATATAAGCTTAACAAAATTAAGCCTGCATTACTATATTCAGGTAGTTTTTAAAAGGGGCATTAGCATTGCAGAAGAATTAGAATTCAGCATTCAGAATGTCTTGAACTCAGCACTCAGAAAGTAAGTTTTTGAAAGCTGTTATTCCACATCCAACTAAACTGTGAAAGAAAACATGAATAAAAACATACTGATTTTTAAGTGTACATTCTTTCTGTAACCAACACACTAAATAAACACAATCAATTATGAGAATACCAAATTGCCAAGGTAAGTACCACTGCTTGGTCCAAACTTCTATCAGTAATAAAACCTCCTCTTGATAAACACAGCTGGGGAGCACTTTCCATTAAGAAATGGCAACACTTCTATTACAAACAACTCATAGATAATGTAATATTTAAGGTCAATTTTGACAGTTAATTTTAACTTTTTTCCAGCCTTTGTGAACTGTTCATTACAAAAAAAAGTAGGAAGCTGTGAGTAACAAAGCTGTGAGTGGCAAGCATAAAATTCAATCACACAGGCTTTAAAGAGCTCCCAGAACTTCAAAGAATTTACAGCTAGACAGTTTCAGCAGTTCAAGCAGTTTGTGTGTGTGACTGAAAGGGGATTTTAATATGCACTGAAATTTAAAACCAACCAATACTCTACTCCCACAACAGCAAATCCCTGCAAGCAAAGGCATGGGTTTACTGCAGCACCTTTAACTGGTTCTGTTCAGTACCAAAGGTGTTTTCAAGGCAGTGCTACATGAGTGTGTTCCCCCAGTATTTGCTCAGGCCACAGCTGCAGTTGTGCAGCACACAGCACTCACCCAAGTTAGGAGGAAAACAAGGTGATACAAACACTGGCCCAGGCTGCAAGGGCTAGAAACCAAGTTTATTGCAAAGGTGTTTCTCACCTGGTTTATGATGCTTCACGACAGCCTGTTCTCAACCCTGCAAGTGTCCTGAACTGAGCCTGCCTGCTCTTTTAACAGTGAAATATTGTATTCTTGACCCATACAGGCTAGACAGTCACTGAAGATACCATTATTTATGGATTGAGATTATATCTCATTCTTCCAGAAGTGACTCACTGACTTTTTATCAGAGTAATTTCAGGAAATGTGCATCAGTAAGAACAACTTAGTGACATCACATCTAAGTGAACTCCCTTCTGTCACACTGCTCATTTCCTGAACATTAATATTTTATCTACCCCAAGCAACATCTTTGCATTCATTTTCAATTGAACATTTATTGACTGAAACCCTGTGAGCCACAAATCCAAGGTTCTTTAAAGGAGAAGATTAAGAACTTTTAGCAGCCCATATGAAAGCAGGAGGAACATGTAGCAGCATACTGTTCCCCACCCTCAGAAGGCTGAATGCTCCCCTGACAAAGGGCTCCTGAAGAGCAGTCACCCTGCTTTCATGGTTGGAAATCTGGGCAGAGCAAGGCCAGCCAGGAGCTGTGCCAGAGTAAGTGGAGAGGAAAAAGAGTGAAAACCAAACAGAGACAGCCAGCTATTGTTTCCTGCCCATGTGCAGTCATCTGTCAGTAGCTACTGCCTAGGAAAATCAGGTTTTCTTCAGCTAACTTACAGATGTTCAATGGATTTCAGTCTCTGCAAGGTGACTGATTAAATGACACCTGTACAAAGGAGCTGTGCATCACAACTATCCTTTTAGACCCAAAAGGGCACACAGGTACTCTCTGCCCATGGATCAGTGTTTTATTATCTGAAATTAATGAGTCACTCTGACATTCTTCCACTGTAAAATTCAAGCAACATGAACAAAATGTTGGCAAAAATTTAAGCTACTTACATCAGTGTAACAGGTAAGTATTAGCAAAATGAGTATTATATACAATAAACCAACCCCTAAGACACAAAACATAGAAAGCCATTTTCATCCTTGATAATGATTAAATTACTTTTATTCCCATTTAAAATATACAACTTTGAAAAATTATGCAACATACATTCAAATGAACTGCATTCTTAAGTGTCCTGATAGCCAGGTATCCTGGCCAGTATAATACCATAATCCATCAACTCTGTTTATTTATGGCCACAGGAGAAAAATCTGCATAAATAAATATTTATATCTGATAGTGCAGCTTTTCCTTAAACACTTACATTTAGAAGTCAATTTCAGTAGGCCTCTTTCTCCCAAGCACTGCTTCTTGCTCCTACAGGAAAAAACAAATTCCACAAAGATCCCAAAAAAGGCCAAAAATTCCAAGTCTGCTATTTTAGAAACAGCATTCATGCTACAAGAGTCAATTCAGCAGTGACAGAAATAACCAGTAAAGCTAATATTACCACCCAAAAGCAGTTTGGGAAAGCTCACTGACAATGCCATAACTCTTACTGGTCTGGAAGTAGCGATTTAAGAGCTTTAGAAAAATCGATACAAAGGGTATCATTAGTACAGCAGCTCTGTGGCAGACACCATGGGTAGTATGGCAAGGAGGTGCTGCCCACAGCTGCCTGGAAAAGCACCACTGCTGAGAAATCTTTATGGCAGACACTCAATCCATTGGAAAAGGACACACTGACTTGAATTAAGTGCAGTCTGCAGGGTACAGCACCTGAGGCAACTTACCCCTGTACAACTTCCTGTTATTTAGAGGACACCAAAGGGATGACAAGCATATTTTGGACTGTAACATCCCTGCTCTGCAGAGCCTCAAGTCTTCGCTAATCTACAAAAGACAATGGGGAGAGAATGAGACTGGAAAAGCAGTCAGGGATGTACAGCAGGTATTACATCAGTTAATGGGTGGGCAGGGAATAAGAACAGTAAGGGAGAAAAGCTGGCTGCTGAATTTTACATTGCATCAAGAGTAGACAAAAAAATCGTAATCGCAGGTAGCCCAAATTTAACTGAAGCCAACATCATCACTTCTGTATCAAGACTGAAGAGAAAAACATCCACCACTCTATTGGAAAATCCAGCTCTTAACAGTTTGGTATGATATCCTAACTTAGCAGAGAAAAATCAACACAGGTATTTTAAAGTTGATAACTTTTATTTACAGATTTATTGGCAAAAGGTGTTGGGAAAGTTTAAAACATTTTAAACAGAGGGCACCATACTGTATTGTATGAAGTATCAGTTCACAATCTTCAGTATCCAGCTGATCAAATAAAGCTAATCACCACTTAAAGAAGCATAATCTGCATCAGCTCCATTAGAGTATCCTGCCTAGAAACGACTTCAGGCAGTTTCTAAATCAACACAATCACTAAAAAAAAATGCAGTTTTTGTGAAGAATGTATACTTGGATTTTTGTACTGTACCTGATGTCAAATTGCCCACTTGCATACTGGCAAAGCAGTAACACTTCCTACTCTTAGCTGAAAGTTATAATCTCACTGTCTGCAAATTCAGCTGTCGGGTAATTCTGAACTACTCTGAACGTTTTACTGTGAGCATAGTCAAGACTGGAGTAGATGAGATTGAAGTAAAACATTCCTGGTATAACACGTGCCCACCATATTCAGCTGCATAACCATAAACATCTTGTTTAAGAATTCTATTCAAAAAGGAGAAAAAACGTAGTCAGTTTTCACTTTGCCACATGGGTTTAATTCCTCACTGGAGCTTTTTAGTTCATTCTTCTAAATCAAGAGTGTTTAGTTCTTCCTCTAGTTCATCCAAGTCCTCTCCAGTAAAGAGATTTTCATCAACTGGAACTGCATCAATTACTCCATTTTCCAATTCCCCATCTCCATCATTATCTTCGTCTAAATCATTTTGCTCGCTGTTGTTTATATCACCACCAGAAGCTTCACTTAATTTATTATCTGAAAATAAACAGAATTCTTAGGCATTTCAGTGTCACAAGTTTCTCAATCACCAATTGAATTCGCAATCCTACTAAACATGCTTTCAAATTTTAAAACTATGAAGAAGCTATTTTGTTTGAAATTCACACAGACTTATATTGGCCAAATTGCATGTACCTGGTTATTATGCAAGTCTGGATAATCAACTATGAAAACAGGCTGGAAAAGAGAATAACTTACCATCTTTTTCTACTGAAGTGTATGTGCTGAACCGCTCTGGACTAGCCACTGTAATACCAGTCTCTTCTACTGCCTTGGGGACATACAGGTTCAAATCTACATCATTTATACACACAGGGTCCTCCACCTGGAAAATAAACCAAGATACTCTGCATGAATTCTTCTCCATAAAAATCCTCACTTCTGCAAGATTTCTACATTTGTCACCTCCAACAGCAACCTTCTGATAAAATATACTCTGTGGCATTATTAAGAACCAAGGTTATTAATTTCATTTTAAGGGCTTTCAAACTTGAATGCAATTGAAATATTCCTTGATTTAATCCTGTTTCCTTTACCTCATCATCATCTCCTGCTCCTTGAACATAATGGGTGTCATCTGCTTCCTCATCATCTGCATCAACCAACTCTGGCCGGAACTCAAATACTTCACGTCCACTAATCTATTCACAGCAAAAGAAACCTTCAGTTATCACTTCATGGAATTTACACTGCTTACAAAAAAACCCACCAACAAACCACAAAAAAGAAAATGACACACAACAAGCAAACCAATCTCAGGCCAGTTACCTCTTCACAAAACTTTATTTACTCGCTCTTCTTACATTAAGAATTGTAAAACTTACCACCAATGCTTTGCCAGCTTTAAAATCTGCTTTCCTCCTCTCCATATCTTGTTCGGCCTTATCAATTTTTTCTTGTCTTTTTCTTCTCTTCCATGCAATAAAACACTCTAGAGTAATTTTGGTAACATTTGGTCCTAAGGCAGCACGCTGTCAAGGAAGGAGAATGATTAATGCTAGAAACTCTTTCCAAAGTCTGTAACGAATTGGATATTTAATTACTCTTTTCCAAAAACTAATTGAAAACATTTCTTTCCCAGTCCCTCTTGACTCTTAGGCTGTTAAACATGCATCATCTTCTTAACATTTGACTTAACATGCGATTTTCCAGTTAGTGAGATCAGCTGCCATGAACATTAACAGGAAAAGTGGAGGAGGAAAAAAAGGAAAGACAAGAGCTGAGCTCTGCTCAAAGTGGCACTGCCAAGCAATGGTGACAGAAAGAAGCAGAGCAGTAACACCCTCAGAAGGCCTTCTGCTCTTTGCATTGTTGCCTCATTAGAGAGTTAAGGGAGAACTCAGGAGACAGTGAGATGAGAAAAGCCAGAGAAGCAGTTGCAATGGACAAATGAGAAATTAAGTTAAGAAACAGAAGCCTCCTAAAAATGGGTAAGCAACAGCTGCACTAAGTATGCAGCTATAGTTAATTCTATTCACTAGGTAATAGTTTCTAAAAAAAAACATGAATCAATGCTATGTATCCTTTGCCCTAGCTCATACAGCTCTAAAAACATCTAATAGTTTTTCATTATATATTAGCAATTCTTTTATGTGCCTCTTCAGAGGAATGAAAACAACTACCACCAAAAGGTACCTGTCTGACAACTTTACCTCTTTTTCTATTAGATCTTCTAATGAAATTTCATCTTGCTTTTCCTCTTTCTTTTTGTCTTTTTTTAACACAAAGCCCGGAGGGAGGGCATGGCGATACATACAGTTGTCTCCTCCACCTGGACAGACCCAAAACCATCCATATTTGTTGTTTTCAATAGCATCAAGGAAGTATTTGCAGACCTGTATAAAAGCAATGGTTGTTGTTAACACCGTGTCCCCTTTCCATTCCCAGTATTTTACACCCCATGGCAGAAGTTCAGTAAATCCCAGTCAGCTGTGCTCAGAACAAAAGGAACACGTGAAATGCATTGCTACCAAAAACAGTAGACAAAGAAGTGCAACTGAGTATCTAAGACTCACGTTTAACTTTTTCTCCCTCAATATGATCCCAACTGAGAAAGACAAGATGACAAAAGACTGCCAACCCTGCACTCCTGTGAAACCAGCAGCACACCTCTTTCTGCTCACTAACATTAATACAGTTTTAAACAACAGAAATTGCATCTGCCTCACATGTTAAACCTTTCAGCTCTGGATGCTGAAGTAAAGATGCCATTCTAGGACCTTTAACAAGCAATTCATGGTTTATATTTAGCCACAGCAATGGTTAACTGTTGCAAATTGAGGTGGTATCAATAGACTATTTAATTACTTGGTATTGAAAATTAGATAGAATAGTTCCAAAGAATGAAAAAGAGATGAACCCACTATTGCATTTAGTGCAGAACTGAAAAATATTGTTAAGCTTAGGGCCCAGGAATTACAAATTACCCTCAATTCACAAATTAGGCGAAAATTTAAAATCTTATAATGCTTATATGTTACTCAGTACATAGATAAGTCAATATATGTGTGTATATATATATATATGAAACCTTGAGCATTTCTATAAAGCACTTCACCTACTATCCATTTGTAATGTACATGAGGAAACTTTTCATGGATTGAAAAAAGCTGTTGGGTTTTAGTTTTCTTTCTGGTTCTGGTTTTTTAATTTTTAAAGATATTTCTAGGAATACTATCAGTCCAGTTGTCAGAATATTATTATTATTATAAAAATAATCCACTCTGGATTTTACATAATGATAAACACATCTAATGACTGCACTGCACTTAATTCCTTCTAGTACAGCTCAATTTAAAAAAAAAATTTAAAAAAAAGGAAAAGAAGACATACTATCTGGGTTTTGGGTTTTTTCTTTTCCGCCTCACCATGCTTCTTGTTCACCACTTCTTCCAGCTTCTTCTCATCCCAGTTGTCCATTGTATCTAGAAAAAGACAACAGATGGTTCCACAAAAAATTCCAAATACTAAACATTGCCAGCAAGCTGCTTTTCTGCCCAGTAACAGTTTTAATATGCAATTCTTACATTTCAAGTAGCTTATACAAGGGAAAATAAATTCAGGTTCTTAAAATACTGTTTTCAGACTCTCCTATGCCACTCAAAAGACAATTACCTCAAAAGCCCTAGAAATTTTAATTTTGAAATGCATAAAGTGTGTTTCAGTTAAACGCTCAATAATGTGTCATTCCATCAGCACTGAGTGCAGACAAGGGTAAAGAAGAAAAACAAGCCAACTGAATAAAAGAGAAGGTTGGAGGGTAACATCCAGAAATACAGCTAATTTGACTTGAGGCTTGAAAGAGAAAATACCAAATTATCTGTGTAAAAGTTAAAAGAAGGTTCTGCCAAAAGAAGCAAATCACCAATGACAACATTAGCAGTGAATCTGTGGGATCCCATCAGACACATCTAGGATGACAGAGGCTAACACTCAAAGACTAAGACATGAGTAAATGTGAAAAAAAATTATATAAAACCTTTTAATCCCTGCTAAATAAAAGTAAAATCCAGAGTACTAAGCCAACAAGTCATTTGGGGAGAGAAAGCCACAGATTCCCAAGTATCCCTAAATGTAGAAGTGTACACGTTTAGCCAAACACTAGTAGCAGTTCTGGAAGGCAACTGCTCATTGCACTTCCTCCTTTTGCATTTCCCTTCTACAGAGCTTAAGAGGGAAACAGCAACTGCAAGAAAGGTCAAATACTGTTCAACTTGCAACTGCTATGACAGAATACATGACACTGCACAACTGAAAAACCACCATTATCAGTAGGTCATACTTCTTGTTCTAGGTGAAGTCCAAGAACACTTTAGAGCACACTTGGAGAAAGTTTCAGTGTTGCTCAGAACACAGTGGGATGGGTTGCCTTGGTCACTGCTCTTCAGGATCATAACCACAATACAGAAGACTCTTAATCTTAAAATTCCAGTTTCAGAATTGGAATAAGTTAGCAGTAACTTTCTACAATTATTATACCTTTTTCAAGGTCTTCATCTCTTGCATCGATGTAAACACTTCGTTTTTCACACTTCCTTTCCAATGACAAATCATGAGAAAACTTGCACTTGTCTCCTTTAGTGCACTGTCCTTGCTTGAAGAAAGCACAAACTACAGATTTTGGGTCAGCACCTGAGTGAAGAAAGTTTTTTATATTTTAATACTATTTTAAGGAAAAGTGATATATTAGAAATTCTGAGAATATCTAGGATATGTAGAGAATGAAAATTAGTTTTAGAATGAAAAAGAGTTTTAAAAATAGAAGTTATTTAAAGTGCTCATGGTAAGTATATAATTCATGTCCTGAACATGACAAATTTACTTTTATTGCATGGTATTTATGTTAAGTATCAGAGCTGCCACTAAACTATTTAAAGAAAGATGGTGTGCCTGAGGAAATGATTCATTTGTGTATTAGAATACATCAGAGAGTTCATTCTGTGCAACTTCTTCCCTATACATGAAGCTATTCTTGCCTCTAGTACACGGTAAAGCACCTTCTGGATGTCAGCCTTTTCCCAACAGATCAACACCACACTATAATAAATTACAATAATTTAACCCACACTCACTCAAACCACTTTCCTCCTTTAATAATAGAAGGAAAATGGCTTATCAGAGACCCCAAAATAAGGAGCTATGGTTCTATGAGCTATCCAATCACTCTAACTACAGTTTAAGAAAAAATCATCCCACTAAAGAATCATTTGACCATTAGGAGGTCATTAGGAAAAGAAATGAAAGAAGCAGGTCTAAGTGTATTTATGAGACATGACTAAATCAGAAATACTTTACTTGCAGTATTACTTTAATTCTCATGGAGGATTTTAGGCTTGAGTTTTTCACATGATGCTTCACTTTTGGTTTGACTGAAAGTGATTTCAGTATGTACAGCAACACTTGTTTAAAATGTAATCTAAAAATCTGAAATAACTCAATGTCAAAAACTGCTTGATTTAAGGAAAACTGATACAGAAAGTTCCAGGTCACAAACAGAAAAGTGTCCTTCGTTGCTGATCAGCGCCACAATGAGAAAATATCACGTTTGCTTTAAATATATGAAAATCACACTTCTTTTGTCAAAAATTACTGCATGGATGCTCCAGAAGATTGGCAAGTAAAAACTTGGTAACATCACAAAGTTTGTCTGTTCAATAACCGAACTCAAGGGATATCCAAACCAAATGCCACTGCTAATTATGAGGTCAGACACCAGTATCTGGAACGTATTTGCAGTTCCGATTTGAGTACAAGTCTTCTGTTATGCCAAAGCTATGATCTTATATTCTTTCTTTGGATGTTCACATTTCCCTGGGGAGACAGGCTGTTTTAAACAAATACCATGACACACACACACAAAATCATGCCACATATTCAGAAGCATCTGATAAATCAGAACACAGCCAAGTATCTTCAGCTGTGCTGACAACATCAATGCAACTTTTGGTATTTAAATGATCTACTGAGCCCAGGGGACTCCCCAAAACAATGTCAAATCATGACTGACAAAATACTTGATGCACTGATGACGGAGGAAATAGTCTATTTCATTAAAATATCAACGGGTGTTTTTGAAGGGTTATTATACCTTCAGTAGTTATATGAATAAGAAAACATAAATGAAGAGAAATCACTTAGTCATACCTTTGCTTATTTTCTGTGCAGCAACCACAGGCTTGAAGAGTTCATTTAATTCTTGTAATTCCTTTTTCTTATCTTCTTTCTTTAATTTCTTCTCACTTTCTGATTGAGCAGCCTATAAATATCAAACCAGGATGTTAGGACTCCACATAAAATGCACGTTAAAACAGCCAATCATTCAAAATGAGTTTACAATGGCAGGAATGAAACAACCTGTGATGCCTGGAAGGCTCAGAATTGCTGCTCTTGTGTGTGCAGCTGGTGCCCTTTACTGGCACTGACCTAGTGCTGCAGAGTGACTTTATGATGCTTGTATCCCCATCTGTCTGTTCTGTTTATGCTGGATATTAAGTTCTGCACCTTTAAGACTGGTTCTAAGAGTGAAGGTGGGGAAAGAAGCAGTTTGTTTTCAGAAACTGCACTTGCTCCCCTGCACTCCTTTTCATGGCCTATGTTGTCTGCAGCAGAAACAGTGGGTTGCTTTTTAGGTAGTTTTTTAGCTAGCTAAGCCAAAATGCCTGGGCAGGGATTTTGCAGGGCCAGCCAAAACCAGGGCACCTGTCCCACAGGAGGGACAGCAATTCTGCCAGAGAGGAGAGGTGCTGGCAGGTACCTTTAGTGACACAGTGACCCCTACTGCATCTTTACAGGTAGGAAAGCCAATGAGAGGCATTGAAACTTCTCGTTCTTTTGCAGTGCAACTACCTCCAGATCTGCACAAAAAAAGCCTCGAGTCCCCTACATGCTGCTTTGCTCTTTCATCTGATCTATCCAAGTAGAAATTAAAGAACATCTGTCCATAGAAGTTGGAAGTGCTTTTAGAACATTATTTTGACTTGGATCAACTGAACATATGAATATTTCATTGCTTAATTAAGGACTAAAGACAGGAAAACAAGCCAAGGAAGGAAATTGCATCTATAAGGAAAAAAATAACTGACTCTGCCTCACCCTTTTTTGGGTAAGACAGAGCAGGTGTGGTCTTTACCCAAGTGGAATGAAAACACATGAAAGAGGACATGGAGAAACATTCTTAGATCAGATATGAATGGTGGCTTTAGCAAGGTGGGGGTCCATCTCTTTTTCAAGGTAACCCATGACAGGATAAGAAGCAATGGTCTCAAGTTACCCCAGACAATGTTTAGATGAGGTTTTAGGAAACATTACATCTCTGAAAGGGTGGGTCAAGCATTGGTGGACTCACCATCCCTACAAGTGTTCAAAATGTGTAGATCTGGCACTCGAGAACATGGTTTAGTGGTAAACAGGCAGTGCTGGGTTAATGGCTGGACTCAATGATCTTAGAGATTTTCTTTACCCTTACGGATTCTGTGTTTATTTGACTCTTGTCCTTACGACAAGTCAGTGAGACTAACACCACAAACAAGCATGTAGGATACTATTTTCTAAAATACAGTGTAACATTAAAAAAGGAGCTTTGTTCTTACGGTGATTTTGGCAAAAATACACCAAATTGTTTTAAAAAGGAATTAGCAGCTTGGTTAGTTTTCCTACTAAAAGTTCACAAATGCTATTTTAAATAACAAGCAGACCCACATATGTCAAGTACAGGAAGTTGTACTTTAAGAATGCTTTTGTTTCTCTTCAGAGCTCTAAAATCTTGAAGATGAAGCTTGTCTCAAAAAAAACCCAACAAACCAACAAAAACCAAACAAAATCCCCCAAAATCAAAGAAACAAAAAGACTAAAGAAACAACAACAAATCCAAAAAGGGAGTAAAAAAAAAACCCCAAAAGCACCCACTACCAAAGCTAAAACTCTGGTAGCATTTCCATTTTAATCTCAGGACATTAGGAAAATTGCTTTAAAAAGTTATTTCTCAGGGACAATCTTAACTGAAAGCTATTCTATAAGGTAAGAGAGGTAAAATCAGGTTTAAAAATTTGGTCCTGACATCCAATAGTCAATAGCTACTAGCATTTGAGAAATAACATTATTTTAGGCTGCCTATTTTACATATTGATATTTATACACATGCCACAGATCCAGGGATTTCATATACAAGTTTCAGAACTGTTTGAGTAGCACCAGTGTTTCTGAAGTGACAGCAAGGAATCTTTCCAACAAGCAAAAAATTATTAGATTTAATGCCCCAAATAACAATTTTACTTTTCAAGCTGGGCTTGCCATGCTAGTTCATCCTTGTTACACAAGGAACATATCATGACATAATGAACTGAGCTAATGCAAACGTAATTATTTTACACGCTTATTCACAGAACAGAAAGCTGTGTAAATATTTAACAGCTAGCTCTCCTAGCACTGTAAGAATAAGAGACCTGGATCATTTCCATTAAATCCATGCTTTTTGATTGAGTATAATGTAAACATTGTATCTCATTTTATTTCATCATACAGAAGAGCCAAGTTGCAGATAGTGGCTCAGAATTTCAGGGGTTTTGATCAAAGAGTTCACCAAATAGATGGAGACCTGACAGACTTGTGTCCACTTAAAATTGTAATAAACACTTCTGTAAGTAGAAGAATGAGAACTTATAGGCTTTTATATTTTATTTTCTTTCAATTCCAGTTTTAGTAACTATCGCTAATTTTGACTGCTCACTATTTCTCAAATAAAGTGGGAATTCAAGAGAAAAAAGAGAAAGAAGGTGCAACTGAACTCTGCTGACAGCCAGTATCTACAATTTAATTTCAGATATACCAAAACTGAATTATGCTACTGTCACAATACCATGGAGACACTTGCCCTGCCTAGTTGAGATTGGATGGGATGCAGTTCTTTTTTCACAACAAAAGCCAACCAGAAAACTAAAAACCAGCAAACGCCCATACTCTGTACTACCTTTACACAGGTACATAATTTACAGCTAGACAAGCTTTGCATGACAACTGTTAGCTAGATCTGTGCCAGTCACATGAGGCAAGGAACAGCTCAACCTTCAGGTACCTTCAGTACCTGACCACTTGTTTACAGAGTGAAAGATGATTTGACTATGCAGTGGGAAAAACAGTCCACAATAAATGCTTACCTGACGTGGGTTCTGCTGACCAAACTTAACCTGGTGAGTCACAGCCTTGATAAACTTCTGCTGCTTTGCACCTTTTTTATTCTTTAGGCCAAATGTTTTGTCCTAAATCAAGAGATAAACACAGCCATATTAATAAAAAAAAAAAAAACAAACCTAAATCACCAAAACAACTGAAACCTCATCCTTGCCACTCCCCTCAGGCGAAAAGTAAAACACAGATTATCTCCTAAAGCAACACAAGCAATGCAAGAAACAGTATGGACAAAAAAAAAATAAAAATATATCTATCTATATAAATAAAATATCATCTTCAGAAGTGATTTGTCACCAGAACCTCCTGAATGTGGCCCTTGTGTGAGCTCTTGGTTTTATCACCAGACCTCCTCGTGCCCTGGTATCAGTGTGAGTGTGGCCACACAGTGTCCTCAGGCCTCTCAAGGCAACAGGACAAGATATTTTTGGAGACTACCCAAGGGACATCTGAGGAAAACAGGACAACTGATTAGCCATAACTACTGCTGGTTTCTCTTCTATCTACCTGAAGTCACTCATTACTTCTATCTTCAACTATTCAGATAGAAAAGTGATATATGTTATATAGATGAGTATTACCACATGTGACATATTACTTTTTATTTTCTAGTATTGGAAGCTTTTCCTTTTCTAACTGTACTAATTTAAAATTAAGTCTTTTTCCTACATCAGGTCTGGACAGGTGTCTCTACTTCCTAAAATCCACCGCTTGAACCAATTCTTCCTCTGTATCTTGAGCTTTATTGTTAAGGCGAAGTTTCTATACCAAATCTATAAAAAATTCTAACAAAAAACAAAAACCAGCTTACTTTCACATGAGTAGCTGAGGCAGAAATTATTTTTTGTAACTGAAATACCTGCCTTAAAAACTTATGCATGCCTATGATTTGATACCAACATTTTCCTCCTTGAAGAAAAAAACAACAGATGTTCATCCAGTGAGAATAGCTCAGCTCAAATATGGTTTTGGAAGGCCTAACAATCCAAAAATATATTATAAAATAATTACAAAATAAACAGCTCCAAGTTTCCAGAATCATTCTGTTTTACTTACAACATGTTCCCTAAGAACAGCAGCTTCTCTGTTACTTGTTAACAGGAGATTAGTTGGGAAAGAAAATTTATCATTTACACATTTGATTTCCACTGTAAATACAGTATGGAAAATATAATCCCTGTGTCTTTGATTTATATAAAAATATATTGTTAACAATCAATACCAGCTTTCCCCCTTCCAGCTATACTTCTTTGTAATAAAAAGCAGGATTTTTCTGGGGCAGCTGCATTCAGCAAGAACCTCAGGAACTACAATACCAGGAGAATACAAGACCAACTGCTCTAACCTGACCTTTCCAAAAACCACAGAAACAACAATCTGCAACTTCAGATGTAAAGGAACACACTCATTTACACGGCTATTTCACCTGAGCAGCATTTTTCATGCCAATAATTCAGGCAAATATTTAAATTTCTGTAACTACTCTGCCTGTACTCTCAGCATTAATTCACACACACAGCATAGACACACACATCCCTCTAGCATTTTTTTTTTTTTTTCAATCTGGTCACACGGGTCAAATTGTAACAGAATGCACCGCAAATCTGAATGAAGAAACAATATCATTAGTGTGTGAAGGGATCTCTGGAGATCATCTACCCCTAAAAGCACAAACCTACACCCCAGCGAGCCAGACTCTGGGAATACACGGACACAGGACACCAGAAGGAATACGAGTAAGGGCGAGGAAAAAGACAGCACAGCAGTGCTGTCAGATCGCGTTCAGGCCCAACACAGCTCGGGCCTGGCAATGTTCCGGCTAAAGCTGGCTCCAAGAAGCGCAGAGAAGGCAGTGTCTCCCCGGGAACTGAGAGGTTTCGGCTCTGCGATCCTTCCCTCGGCCGCTCCAGCCGGGAAGCCGCAGGGAGCGGCAGGGCCCAGCGAGAGGCCGCGGCGGGAGAGCGGCGGCCTGAGCCTCCTCACCTCGATGATCTTCTCCTTCTTCTTCTGGTCCGCCTTCTTGCTGCCCCCCGCCGGCTGCTGCTGCTTCTTGGGGGGCATGGCGGGGCGGGGCGGCTCCCGCGGGGGCTGGGGCTCGGGCCGGGCCGGGAAGGGCCGGGACACGCCGGGACGGGCTCGGGCCGCGCCGCCACCGCGGGGGAGGCGCAACGGGTCCCGCGGGGCACGATGGGAACGCGCCGCGGCCCGGCCAATCGCCTCCCGGCAGGCAGCGCGCGCCGCGTGACGTCACCGAAACGGGCGGGGCAAAGCGTACGTGAGTGACGGTGGGACGAAAGGCGTGACGTCACGGGGCGGGGCGTTCAGTGGCGGGAAAGCTGGCGGTGTGTGCGGAGAGCGGGACGCTGCTCTGCTTCTTAAATCTGCTACGTAAATCTGCTTCGTAATGGCCGTGGTTCCTTTCTGAGGGAGAAAGGGCCCTGAAAGTCCTCACAAGTGACTCGATCTGAACGCACCCGTCAGGTTTTGGAAGGATGGGCGTGCGGGTCGAGTTTGCTGCAGAACCCAGCGCGCTCTGAGCTTTTGAACGCTAGGAAAAATGCGTTTTTCTACTGTATTTTAGGTTTTATATAGGTTCTAGTATATTAAAGGTTTAAAACTACACATTAATTGCTTTGTTAATACGTGCAGTGACAATGGACTTGAGAGAAAATATGGATTGCAGCCCTTTAAGAATCACAACTCTTTCAGTGTGCCAAAAATACGCTCCTTGAGGGAATCTGGTGAATACTCCAAACACTGAACATTGGAGCAAGCAGGAAAACTAAAACATCTTCTGAAACGCACTAAGGCTTTACCCTGGAACACCCAAAATAGAGAGGAGCCTTCAAAAAAATAGCACCTTTTAAAAAAACTGAAACATGGGTGTCGTGTAGTTGGGGGTTTCCAGCTGAATCCACGGAAAACTTGGCCTAGAGCCAACTGATTTAAGACAGTGGGGAATTCGCTGTAGAGCATTTTTCAATTCAGCTTTTTAAGTGTAAAAACTTGAAATAGTAGAAAACACTATTTTATAGTAATATAGATAGATTTAATAGACTTATGAGTATTAACTTATTCGTCCAGGGTTGCTTAAAGCTAATTTTAATGGTCATGCAATGCACAGTGCAGGGAGAATACATGTTCAGGAAGTGCCTCAGCCACGGGGAAAAGACAAAAGGCAACATGTGGCCAGGAGTTTAGGATTAAAGGAATATGTGTGCTCCAGAAACTCGGGAGAGATCCCAGAGGGGTATGGCCCCATGGGCTCCTCTCTGTTTACTCCAATAAAATTGATTTTTGCAGGTCTCTGCTGTCTCCTTCACAGATACTGTTTTTTTTTGCAGCGTGGTTTTCCGCTTAGGATCTATTGCATCCTAAAGGACACACAAAACAGACAAATGTCAGGGAGAAAAACAGCATCTCCCAGGCTCCATCAACCATCAAGTGATAAATCCCAACTCATGCATGGGCATCTCTCCCCAGGGAAGGTGTCACAGCCCCAAGCCTGACAGAGTTCAGGGGGTGTTGGGGTAATGCTCACAGGCACAGGGTGGATCCTTAGGATGTCCTGTGTCAGGCTGAGTTGGGATACGATGCACCATATTTATGCCGTAAAGTAAAACACTGTAAGTTTTACCTCAACGAGAGGAAGAGCTTCTTTACATTGAGGGTGGCAGAGCACTGGAACAGCTGCCCAAGGAGGGTGTGGAGTCTCCCTCTCTGGACACACTCCAAACCCACCTGGATGTGTCCCTGTGTCACCTGCTCCAGGTGATGTTGCAGTCTCTTTATTGAGTCTTGTCAAAGTTCAAATTGTTTGTTGGCTTGTTCCTTTCCCCCCTGGGTGAAGTGGAATGGCCCGCCCTTATCCTGTCTATCAAGGCAAATCCCTCCCTTCCTCCTTGAAATTCCCTGTCTGTCACCCCTGCCCTGCCCCTACTCCCTTGTCCATCATTGTAAACCCCACCCTGCCTTCCAGATCATTCCCTGTCAATCATTTGTCCCTCGAGGCCCCACTGCTTAGTGTCTCTTGTTCCCACCCTCTGTATATCCCTATTGGCCCTGAATTTGCCATCCTCTCCCCTTACTCCTCCCCTCGGGATTCCCTATGGGTCCACTGTTTGTACCGTCCCCTGGAGATCGGGCTGTATTTAACCCCCTGCACAGCAGGCCTCACGGCTCTCTCGCACCCGAGCTCTTCTAGTGTGAGTCCCTCGTTTCCCCATCCTAATAAAACCATTGCTGGGAACTTCCAAGAGAGACTCCTCTACTTTCTTGCCTCCACCCCGACACTGTGCCCCACAGAGCTTGGGGTGGCCCAAGACTCTGGAAGTTTCACTGAGGGAAAAGCCCAACTCCCCAGTGATTCCTCACCCTTGGTGCTCGCCTGTGCCGGAGTACAAATCAACACTGTAGAGCTAGCTGGAGCTCTGGTGCACGCTCAAGGTGACCCTGTCTTGGCAGGAGTGTTGGACTGGGTACACGCTCAAGGTGACCCTGTCTTGGCAGGAGTGTTGGACTGGGTAATCCCCTGAGGTCCCTTCCAGCCCTGACGGTTCTGTGATTCTGTCATCCTCATAGGTCCCTTCCAAATCAGAACATTCTGGGCTTCACAGTGCTGAATAGCCATGCCAGCCTTTTGGCACGCATCACTGCTTGTACTCTCAAAAAGGATGGAATGCTCTGGTTCTTCAGTGTGAAGTCTATGTAGTCTGTGTAATGCTGGAAAGCAATTTCAGATTTTGATTTTAGGCTCAGAGTCACAAAGAAGTGTGAGACAATGGAAGGTCTAGGAGTTTGCCTGATCAACAGGCGTACTTGCTTACATTGGGTCAGATTTGTAATAACTAATGATTTCTTGATCCATCAGTAAAGACACAGCACACAGTGGTGGGAGCCTGACACAGGAGGAATTTTGTCTAAAAATGAGCCTATTTTGTTTGAGCAATTGGGACAACTTGCTGCCTGTTATAAATGCATATCATATTATTGGCTTTTTGCAAGTCTTATAATGAATATTATATGTATAAGATTAGAAAATTTAGCTGAAATAATATAGTCTTCTTTATTTCTGTTATTAATGAAACTTAGAAGTAGTGGTATAATACATATATGTTAAGCTATGACATAGCATTAAAACAAAAACTACTTTTGTTTGTATAACCCAAAGACTGAAAAAGATAGCTGGAGACCTTTTTTTTTTTTCTCTTTTGTAAACTATCTTATCCAGGTGAAGACAGCAGTGACCAGAACTCTGGGGGTGGAATTCATTGCATTTATGGTATCAGGGAATGTAAATCTCGATGGTGCCAAGAGGATTGATCTATTGGGAAGGGGGCAAGAGAAAATTAAACAGAACACCAAAGATCCTGAGAAGAATGTATGAATATACATGAGAATTTATGGATATGTAGTAGGATTCTGTTTTTAAGGGACAATCCTTTGTTAGTAAGGTGTGCTCTCTTGGCTGAATGCAGAGACACCCAGCCGTATCTGTATACTTTATTTTTTCTCCTAATTGTCTTTTTTATTAAACTTTTAAATTCTATAAAAATAATGTGAACCGTGTTTTTCACACTGCCTTATGTCAGTCACGCTCCTGCTAACGTCACTGTGATTCCGCTGTAAGACGAGCCAGGCCATGATGTTTTCTTCTCCTGTGAAATTGATTTTATTTGTGGCATAATCCACTGTATCTTCCAATTTAAAGGAAAAGTTATGCCCATGTTGTTTCCTCCTTTCATTGTGATCTGAAAAAAATATAGAGAACGTGAAGATTATCATAAATAAAACACATAATTAAAAGATGAATACATCCAAGCCTGAAGAACAGTATTTTATTTCTAGTTTCAATAAATGTATGCAACTTGGTTCTAATATGCATCCAGTGTTAGATTTAGAGCTAGCTGAGGCTAGAATTAGGAGCTAGCACAAGTCAGTACTGTCTACAATATTTCACTTAAAAAATCCTAAGTAACTACAGAAATATCAGGCATAACTTGAGCTTCTGGACTTTTTTCCACCTCCTTTGCTCTACCTCAAAAATTAAGATTGTTACTCTAGTTCTTATGAACATTGATTGCTTTATGAGTAATTGAATAAATGACAAGTGGGCAGTTCAAGAGCTCATTGAGCTTTACTAATATCGTGTTTCACTATGGTGTGCATGCCTTTTCCACAATTAAAATAAGCCTGTTTTAATGCATTTGCCTGTTCTTCCCCCCCAAACAAAAGCCAAGCCATGCATTTCTGCTAAGTGAGAAAGTCGAGTATGAACCTACAAAAACACACCCAAAGAACTGCTGCTTGCACCCAAATTGGAACAAGAAGCACTCTCCAAATCCTTCCTTCTCTGTCACAAACCAGCTGTAGAGTTGTAGCTCCTCACCTGCATGTTTCTTTTGCATTTGAATAATACAGGCAAGGACACTCATTTCATCTTCTTCATCTCCCCAGCTGCGTATTTTCACATTTGTGATAAAACAACACTTGCAGGCTCTAGCCCTCTGACAAAGATTCTTGGAATTAGGAATGTTTAGCCTAGGAAAAATAAAAAAGGGACTTTAGGGAACCTTATCACTCTCTGCAGCTACATGAGAAGAGGTTGCAGTCAGGGGGGTTCATCTCTCCTTGCTCCCCACAAAAAAAGCAATAGGACAAGAGTAAGCAGACTTTAAATGTGCCAAAGAAGGTTTAGATTCAATATTAGGAAGAATTTCCCCACTGGAACAGGATGCCCAGAAGAGTCACCTTCCCTGGAAAGACATGAAAAGTGTGTAGATACAGCATTTCAGGACATAGTTTAATGACGGAATTAATGATCCTAAGGGTCTTTTCCAACATAAACGACTCTGTGAAACTAAATAAAATACCAAATCTCTTAGAAAAAGCCTAACAAAGACAATGTGAAATCACTTCTTTCAAGAGCCTGTCTCTAACATAGCCTTAAGAAAAAGGGTGACCTGTTCAAGTCATTACACTTTTCCTCAAGCTGCCCCAGTCTCCAGTGGAGAGAAAACCAATCTTAATAGGTTAAGTCAGCTGGAGACATTCTGGCTAATGGTGAGAGCTACTTGAAGAACGCTATGGATGAGTCCATATCCTGAGGGTTAAGCAGAGTATTTGTAGTGTTCTTGGGGGGATTGGTAGAGGTCTTAAATCCCTG